AAACAGTTCTACAAAACATCAATTCAGTGTTCAGAAACCATCTTAAAAAATCCAAAAACCCTGCCCCAAAACCCTAAACTGAAAATACCGTGATATTGGAATTATCAGAAAAGAATACAGAAGAGACATCTGTAGCATCACTTTGTTATTTGTAAGTTCACAATGCTCCTGCATTTTTAATACTGACTGCTGTTCAGTCCTTTCATTTCTCACCAAAATATAGGAAAAAACACAGAAATGACTTGGAGAACAGCAGAGTTTTAAGGCACAGAATGGCAATAAGAATAGCTGCACATTAAGACTTCTTAGCTTAGAGGCAAGAAAAGTGCAAAAGATCCCTAAAATCATGAGCATTAATAAAGCAAAAACAACTGCTAAACACCAACAGAAAATTCAGAGGCATTAAATAAAATTGTTAGAGTGAAGGTGTGGGAACGGAAAAAAAAAACACAAACAAGGGAGATTTGCACAATCCATTAAAAAATTAGACATTTAATTTCTCAATTATGTTGTAGATGTAGGCATGGCAAACAAGAAACTTTAAAAATAAATCTATGCAGAAATTTCATGAAGAGCTATTAAAAACAGAGTTAACATTTCTAGCACAGGAAAATTGCAACATGAAGATGAATAGGAACTGGCAGAACAGACCACAGTATATTGTCATTGCCCTGCTCTTATACACTTCTGGTATCTGCAGTAAGTCAAACCCAGACACAGGACAAGTAAAATGGACTTTTGCCACAACTGCAAAAGTACAGCAGCTCTTCTGTTCTCAAATACTTAATTTCAAGAGACAGAATGTCCATAACATTTAAAAGTGCTACACGCACAAAACATGGGACAAATGGTAGAATGCACTCTGCTCTCTCACTTCACCAATCACGACCAAGAAGCAAAAAAACCCTGCAATGGTAAATGAGGCTCTGTCAAAAGCAACAAAACGATTTTTTAGGACCACATAGGGCATTCTCAGCTTACCCATCAGGTCCCATTGGGAACTAACTGAAGCAGGAACAGCTGTTCTTCACAACTCTCACCAACTCCATCCTGTGTCAGTCAGTGCCAAGCTATCTTGTTCAACTCCCTTTAAAACTATCACTGTACACACCTATGTTTAGGTCTAGTTCTGTCTTTCCTGGCAGTGTGGCAAATATATCTAAGGAAACACATGTCACCTCAGAAAATTCTGCCCATTAGTATATGCTTCATTTGGTGAGCAGTTTTCCCTTTTGCAACCCAGAACATCCTGTAGATAAATGTATAGAGCGGCAAGATCTTCACAGGAGGTCCCTGTTAAAAATTAATTCACAGCTACTGCAGCAGTTTTAAGGAATTATCACAGATCAGATGATAAACAGATATCCAGTGCTCAAATTCAGTGCTTATTATTCTCATCTGACCTAGTGGAGACAAGGAGGTAGGGAAAGAAAGGTTACCTATACAGTCAAGATGGCAGTAATGCAGAGTCACAGAAAGTGATGAACTCAAATATTCATAGTGTATAACTGCTGCCTATTTACATGATACTAAGATATTGCTCTGAATCCTTCTAGTATTCTAGAGGTCTTCTAGTATATAGAGGTCTTCAGCCACTTCCTGTGCCTCTTCTGAAATATGTCCAGCTCATCTACAAAAAGAATCTCAAAATAGTAAGAGAAAGGGTAACTTCATGTGACCACATGCACACAGTTGTTCCTGCCCACTTCAATCAACAGAGTTGATGAGAGCACAGTCCTACTACAAAAATTTTAAATTCTTCATTCACACAATTCTATTACTAAACCCATGATGGTAGTGAGACTATCCACATGTTCTAAGCTAAGAAAGCAGACAGAGTGTCTTGCATGAAAAGCTTGGTTGAAATGTGGCAAGAAAAACAACCGAAGAATTATCCTAAGAAAAACTCCAGATTTTCTACGGATTAGAATTAAGGCAGAATTTTGCGCCTTAATCTCACTTTCCCCTGGTGTTGACCAAGTGCTCTGCAATCTTCTTCTTGGTTGAGATGAATAATCAAGAGAAACTGCAGATGCACTAGGATGACAGTGGAGTGGGTTAGACACCAATCTACGTCTTGAATACATGAACTCAATTTCCTTTCTCATCAACAAGCTTCTCTGCTCTGCTGAACAGACCACCTCGAGAAGAGCCTGATTGATGAAAAATATTTAGCTGTCTAACTAAAAGGTCTTCCTCCAAAGGATTTGCCAATGAAATACAAAAAGAGCAAAAACAAACAATAAAACCCTTTCTACCAACACTATTAAAAAACAATAACTCTCTTTTAGTTTGTTCTGAAACAGAATAAGCATTTTATCTGAGTATCTACAAACAAATCAGTCACTGTTCAGCATCACTAGAAACATTTTCAATTGGACACTACATGAAATTTTAATTAATAAAAGAGCCCTACAATAGAAAATACTATGCAGCCTTAATAAGAGGAAGCTGTCACCTTGACCTCTAACACACCATCATTTCAATCCAAACAGACAAAAATTGAAAATATTCTAATTCTTACCCTATTGAAATGTATGCAAGTTATGCATTGCACAAGAGTCACATTTCATTCCTTAAAATCTTTAGGAAAGTGACTATGACTCAACATCTACATACTTTGAAAAATGAAACAAAATCTCTGAGGTGACATTAACACTGTTCCACTGTCAAATGAATCATCTTTTTCAGAAAGTAAGTGCAGAGTGAGATAAAACTTAGAGATGATCCTATTTTAAAAAATAAAGACTATTTTGAATTCTATACTAAGAAATTAAGTAATTAATGTTAACTTAATTTCAGCAACGAAACTTCACACGGAAGTGTAAATGTTCATTACATAATTTGAGTTCAAACTTTACTTTTCATAATGGAAAATTTTGCTATGTGTCTAAAAGAAGTAATTTTTTTGAAAAATCTTTTTCCATGCTACTTTTTGATCAGTCAATGCAAACTATGATTTTTACATGATTTGTGTGAACAAATGTCTATGTTTCACTTAAAGTACTTGCCAAAACATCTAATGTATATAAGCAACTCCATGTGTCAGCAGATCAGAAGAAATTTCTATAAAGTTTGGTGAGAGCCAAGACAAACTCAGCAACAGTTGCTTTTCTAAAAGCTTGAAATATTTCTTTTCCTACAACAGCCACATGTGTGCATGGAAATAATTAACAGGTAAATGACACAAAGAAATCTACACATGACAACTTATCAAAACTTTTTACTAAACTTTCAGTCTTGACACGCAAAAGCCTTACCCAACCAATTCTAGTTATATAGCAAGGAACTTTCCTTTGCATTTAACATTCTCCAATTCTATTATTAGAATTAAGAAATTCAACCACACAACTGTTCTAATATTTACAATTTATGCTTCTAAATATTACAAATTTAAGGATCTTTATGATTTGGTTACAGATAAAATTCCAATAAAGAAATAATAATGCATTTTACTTATTTAAATATATATTTTGCTTTGTAATGCCATCCAACAAAGCACTCAGATGATGTTAGCTATGTTGTGATGAGCAAAAAATAAAACTGCCAAAAATGTATACTTCGAGATCTGTTGTCCATAAAAGTCACTGCAATATGGTACTCCATTTTCCACCGGTGTCAGCAAAAGGTCATAAAACATGTACCAAGGTGACCCATTCTGTGATTCCACTGCATGTGGTTCCATATTGGTCCAACACAACTCTGAAGATTTCATGTCAAACTCTTTGGGCCATGTACTGATAAAATCCACCATTCACTGTGGACCCAATGTACTCAAAACTTTGTTGAGCTCAATTTTCTACTATTTCAGGGAGAATGAAAAAGAAGAATGTAGAACTGAAATAGTTCCTTTTACCGTTGCACAAAATCTAAGAGTTCTAGCACTGTTAACAGACAGACTTCAAGCTACCACTGCTATCCAAGTGCTTAACTTGGTATTGTTTCCGCATGTGTTGCCTCAAAAAAAACTTTCTGGTGTTTGGGGGTGTTTTTTATGTTGCTGCTTGCTTTTTAAATTTGTTTTGCTGGATTTTTTTTTATGGTTTACTTAGTTAAAGGGATGGTGCATCATCTATATCCAGCTCTGGCATACCCTAGTTATTCCCAGTTATCTGTGTTTCTGTGGGTTTTCCCCTCCGGAATAGCAGACCACATCAAATAAGCTGACCAAGGAAAGGGAGAGGTTCAACACACACCTAGGAAAATTTACGTCAAGATTGCCAAAACATCTGAAATAGCCCAAGTATTACATTTACATAGAAGTTTATCCAATAGACTGTTACTCAAAACCAAGTAACACATACACCCTCAATGATTAATAATATTTTTGATTTTCCAATAAATAATTATGTCATACAAAAATCTGAAACGCCAGAGATTATTAATTTAAAAGTTCTACCCTTGTGGGAAAAAAAAAATGAAAATATATTGCTGCAAGTTTCTCTAGACTTTTATTTTCCCAGCTAATAGCTCACAGTAGCTTTTACAAACAATACTCAAAAATGCTTAGAAGAACACTATAGTCTGTCTCAGATTTTGTTTTATACAACTGGCATGCTTTATGCATTTTGATTCAAGAGCTAGTAAAATGTCCCAGACATGAATCAAAATAACTGCTATTCAAGCACTACCTGAGTGTATTAATAGTTAATCCTTAAGTAAGATTAAGCATTAGGAACATAGAAGACATGTGACACACTATATTAGTCTTTTAAATACTCGATATTCTGGGAAATGAAAGAGTTGAAAGACCCAGATCTAACCACTACTTAGACTTCTAGAAAGATCACTAGTTATAATCTGTCTTGAAAAATCAGTATTTAAGAAGGTATTACATCACATCTTCCCATCATGAAATGGTAACACTGGTTATTATAACAGAAAACTAAAGGAAACAAATACAGCAATACAGACACACATTTTTTCACACTGAAACAGAAAATATAGTCACAATTTCAAACAACACATCAGTGAAGTTTAGAATTATCTTTTAAACTTACTGTATTAGTTGAATCTTCTTGTAAAATTCTGTCATATAACTGGATAGCATCATCATACCTGTACAAGGAAATAATTCGCATTTATTTCTGCTAAGACAGAACTTCTGACTTTTTGACTCTCCTTGCAATAGCTAATAACCCTCCTGCATTTTTTATACTGAAATATAATACACATATGCTAAGCAAAGTATATTTATACAAAATTATTTTGAGAGTGCTTAGTATAAACAGCAGTATTTTTTGTCAACAATTAAGAAAAACACATGTAAATTGCTTCATGAAACACTGTTTCAGCAGCAACTTGGATATTTTATACCCAGCATCTCACTCTCCTGTCTCTTCTCTTGATGTCTACCCAACATGTTCAACCATCACATCCCTATTCCCCCTTTCACATCTCCCAAGAAATAGAAACTCCAAAACTTGAAAAGCCATCCTAAATAATGACATTCCACTTCACTGTTGTAACTTAAAACTTCATATAATGAAGTTCCTTCTGTTGTGACTTTAAAAAGTATAAGCAGCTGCATACAGCAAACTGGAAAGATTCCTATAGGAGTCTACCAAAGATTATAACATAAATCTTTACAGAAAATGTTTTCCACCATTTATCACTTCTTTTATCAATTAATTCTCCTAGCTGAAGTGTGCTTGAAACAGGTTACTTCATGTGCTATGAGCACTTCAAACCTTCGAACATAGCTCTGTGTGTTTCCCAGCAAACAAACAAAATAATTAAATTCAAACCACATTTCACTACACAGCTGTTGAACTATTGCCACAGAACTAGGCTAGATGTTGTGTCTTCATGTGTAGTTTGACAAGCAGTATGGCAGAGATATTGCTGATTGATTTCTGATGCTCTACACTCCTTAGACATCACCTTACACACTCATTTACATCCCTGCACTGTTCCCTAAGCACTGCTGACACCACCACAGCTCAGCTCTCCACTCCAGCTACCCTAAGGTATAGGAACAACTGTGAAAGGAAGCACAAAAGCAGAAACGAGTGGAAAGTGCTACAGACTTGAGCAGACGTGCTGTAAAACGCTGTATTTGTGTTCTCTGTTAGTTGCTGCTTTGTCAAATGCATTTTAGAAAACTGAATCTGATGACTATAGTCCCAGTTTTACATGGTGAAGTTCTAGAACATTTTTTTTTATTAGCAAGTGCCTTCAGGGATGTCTCAGTCTCTGGGGATATTCTTCACTGTTTCCTTTTCCTGTTGGGGAAAGCAGCAAACTCCCTAGATCCTACAAGTCACTTAGAATTTAAAAAGAAGTTCACTTCAATTGAAGTGAAACATGATGCCTGCAACTTAAATCTTTCTACATTTCTTTTATAGTCAGGGGAGACGGACACACTTATCTAGGGCAATGGTTAGAGCACCTGCAGATGGGTTCCTGTTCAAACAACCCCAGGCTGAAGCCTCCTTCTGCTCCGGCTTCTAGAGAAAACCTATGAACACGAAACTTCAGTTTTTGTTACTTTCTCTGGTCCTTGATAGTCTGATCTCAAGGATCTGATCTGACAGAGACATTTTGTTAAGAACTTTGATGAATGAGCACTTTCAGAAAACTATGGCTCAATAGTGTTTAATTGCTGAAACCACACATGATGTTTGTGCAGCAATCATCTTCCACAAAGATCAAGTCCCATGCAGTAACATTTTTAATGTAGTCACATATGCCTGAAGAGAATTATTGTCTATTGTACTTCTGAATAGGTTTCGAGAAGGGGGAAAAACTTCTGTAATTCTCTGTCTTCCTACCCAATATAAAATGAAGACAAGAGAGATAAGTTTAATGGAAATTCTTCACAAATACACACCTTATATAAAGTGAGTGTGAAACAGAGCATCTGGTTGCCCTGAGATGGCTCCTGTGAATGGAGTCCACATAATCATTCTCGTTGATCCAAGCAATGGACATCTATCAGTGTTTCATATCAAATATTATTTTAAAAGCTAATTTTGCAAGAATGTAATGGATGAAATAAGTATGCTAAATAAGTATCTTTTAAAAAAGCATTTAGGCTATATTTCCAATTCCTTTTATCAAGATGGCCCAAAGGCTCAAAACTCACCAACACTGTGCATGGAACAGATTTCCTATCACTCAAATTATATCAAATATCATTCTTCACATCCAAGACAAGTGCTATAGAACAGAATGTTTACAACAAAGATGCATCCAAGGAGAAATGTGTACAATAAAGTTAACCTGCAAGTCCTGAGGTCATTCATCTGGAAAGTTGTAAAGTTTTAATCTGTTAATTATTTTAATAATTTCTGTTGAACTTAGTATGTCATAACCCTTCTACATGATATTTCAAAAAGGTCTGATTTTTATGTTCAGGCATTCTATTCCATTTGTTTTTTGATTTGTTTCCATAACAAACTCTATAGATTTTATCTTTTTTAAGTTAATTTACCCACACTCAGGAAACAAGGGTAAAGAGCTGCACCCTGCAGTAATCAGGAGTATAGAAGAAAAATTAAGGCAAAAAAAATGCTGGCACTGATTTTCATATGCCGCCCTAGATCTCCAAGATGAAACCTACGCCTCACAGAATTTGTCAGAAGCTTCTGCAGTGTTTTGCTGTATAATGACTTATGCTATGAAGTAAGAGATCCTTCAGGTCTATGATCTCTGATGGGAAGATTGCAAAAATGAAGCACTGCGTAGTATCTGCAAAAATGCAATACAGATGTCTAAAAGTCTTAATATGATCATGCACACTGTTATTTCCTATAAAGGAACTGCCCAGCATTATTTTGCCATTTTGCAATGGCTGAATGCTTTTCTAAGAAAGAGCAAACATTTTTTTCAGACAGAAAGTACATTTTTTAAAATTCAGGTTTTACCTTTCCATAGCTTCAAATCTCATTCCAGTTAATCGCTTAACTCTGTGGCTCCCAGGAAACTGCCGCCTCAGTTCCTGAAGACAAAACTATACAAAGAACCAAAAATACTATTGTGAATATAATTATATTCACAGAAGCTAGAAGAAAAAAACATTAAAAAATGGACTTCACTCATAATTCAACTATCTACCATCCCAGTTCTGAGTAAAAGTAAATACCAATTTTTGAAACAAGAAATAAAATGCTCTGACAAGGAGAAAAGTCGGAAAATGAAATTCTGTCTGTTAGGTGACTGATTTTAAGAAGTATCTTCCATACAGGGCATTAAGATTGTCAGGCCCCCTTGGAAATAGTTATGCGCCCAGAAAATTATACTCACCTACTAAAACAGCTCTGGCATTATTAAAACTTGAATTCTATTTAGTTGCCCCAGAGTAACACAACACAGTAAAAAAAATAAAGACAGTAAGAGCTTAAGTGATACTTCTTTAATAAATGGATATTTCACAATGGAACAAACTATGCTAATATAATGCTCTGTGTTTATTTTTAAAATACAACTTTGAAATCCAAAGAAAATGTTTGCCACTGGCTTGGGTACAGCCTGCTGGCAGAAGAGGCATAATTTTTAACTCCTGAAATCAATGAGACAACTAGTATGGATAAAAAGAATTCATCACAGGCAGATTTTTCTGGATTAGCAGAGAATATTTGGTAGAGGGACTGAGTCACAACTTCCCCACAGTGAGCTAAGTCATAACCGTATCATGGATGTGGCTATTGTGCAGTTCCTAACTGACTCAAGACAGTGGGAGACAGGGCAGCCCACAGGCTCTCAAAACAGACCAGTGGTGTGCATCATGTTAAAAGCTTCATGCTGAATCCTCTTTTAGGAACTTATTTATGCAACTCAACTTAGAAACTTGTTCTTCAAACATAAGGTTCTTAGCAGAGACCTACATAATCTGTTCCAGCTCATCAAATCCACTGGTCAAAGGACAAAGTACAAATCAGTAACAATTAGGATCCCTCTTTGTTTCTGTAGATAAACAGGTTGCTAAAGCATATCCAAGAGGAATATCTGCATCTCTCCTAGATGCTAAGAAACAGAAAAGAGAAATGCAACAGTGACCAAAGTTGTGATGCTTAGTTTCAAGCAAGAACAGACTATTTTCATCACAATTAACTTGATTTGCAATGAATCAAGATCCTAACAATGCAATTTCATGCAGAAAGGCTCAGGTTCAGCAAAGAAATTGTTTACTGGAACTTTGAGTGATGTCTAGGTGAACTGCTGTTGCTCTAGTCATAAAAAACTACATGTACTTAGCAGTATGTTACATGATGACTGAACTTTTCCTGTCTCTTAAGAATGGTCAGACTGAACTCTGACCATTCTTAAGAGACAGGAAAAGCTACATAAAACTCCAGAAAAGTAGATCTATTCCAGCTTTTAAAACCCAGACAACCTTGCAGACTTTAAAAAGAACTTTTGCATACAATAAATCCATCCTGCGGTCTAGTGATCAGTGAACCCTGAAGGACGGTGATTTTTATAAACACATGTACTATTTTTCTCCAAAAAAAAGTACAAATAAAAAAAATTATAACATTTGCAATACTAAAGTCCACAATCTGTAGATAGGCTTTTACATCTAAAAAATCCTCATTGACAATATGAAAGTAGTGCTCAAGTGCAGGAGTAATGCAAGATGAGAATTGTTCACATTAGATCTCGCTACACAATCATTACTCAACTGAATACAGCAGTCCAGGGGCCACAGTAAACTCCTGTAGATTAAGCTATCAGACACAATAAAGTGACAGGAAAAGTTGTACGAAAGTCATGAACAACTCATTGTAACACTGATAAAACCAAAAGCACATTAATAAACTACACCAGCTATATCTTCAAAATGTTCTGGACTCAGCAGCACTGAATGTCCTCTTTTTAAACTGGGACTTGTAATCCCCATAATCATTTATTTTATTGAGGACCTGTTTTGCACCATGTCAGTAATCTGTGAGATTCTCTCGGTTACAATGGCAAACACAATTTGCATGTGAAACTTAACTTGCACTGCATTTGCTTTCTGACTTTTTAAACATCAGACAAAGGCCAAAAAATATAAACCTGGACTTCAGCAGGTAAAACACTAGTAATGCAACTGCTGCCAATAAAAGGTGACTGCACTAAACCACCTGTGTGAACCAACTGCCTGGCTGCAGCAGAGGCATGCATTACACATGGATTTTTGGTGCAAGACAGAAAGCGCAAAGTAATAAATAAGGAAAGAAAAAGAAAAAATGGAAAGTCAGAGGAATTACTCTGAAAACTACCTCAGCTTCTCATTTGGAGTAGATACCTATACCCCTAAGCAAAATGCATCCCAGCTATCAAAAGCTCACTGCTAAAAAACCAGAAAAGCCAAAGCTGTTTGTCTACTTTGGAGTTACAGCTGTAGTAAAATGCCACAGATGATGTAAGCTTGCTCAATTTAACTACTTATTTATTATAAATTAATCCAATTTTTGAAAAACCCTCTAGGTTTCCACCTATGCTTTTAATCTCATTTCCAAGCTGCATACAAAATGTTGCATTCCCTCATCTCAAGCAATATTCCTTAAAGGACACAGACACTGAAATTTAAACTCCCTGCTAGGGTTAGTAAAAACAAAGAACGTTTCACAACTGATCTTTCAACACTGGCTCTGTCAACAATTTTGTGAAAGTCTTCTTTAAAAGACCCTGAAAATAAAGACCAAATCTGTTTTACATATAAATCAGGACACAAAAATGTATTTATTTAAAGAGTAAGTCTATTTGTTTTTTGTTTAAACAAACAGCTATACTACAACAGTATTTTCTTCTGAGGGACAAAAGAGAGGGAAGTTCAGTGGGTTCACAAGTTCAAAGTCTTGTAGTACATTTTCCAGCATATTCCATTTCAACATATATATATATATATATACACACACACACACACATACATACTGGCCATATATCATATATATATATATATATGTGGCCAGACAACCCTGTCTAGTTCTGCCTACTTTCAAATTGCCCTTCTCCCGACTTCATCCTCTAGTCTGACCCCTTGCATTAAGTTTTACCAAAATGACATCACATGAACCTCAAAGATTTTATGAGGTATTTTGTCTTTTGACAGAGAACAAGGCACTGGAGGAGTAGTAGTGGTGAAGGATCTGGAGCCCTGAAAATGGCTTTTTACCTAGGATAAACTCAAGCTTGATGGCTTTCAGGGCACAAGGTAAGCCTCTGTTTGCCTCTGACTGTTTTGTGAAGGAGGGGTGAAAATATTATTAACATTTTCCTGTAAGACAAAATTTTGCCTCTTTCGGTTTTTGCCTTTAAAGGATCAACTAAGCTGACTGGGTTGCTTCGTTTGTTTCAATGGCTTTTTTTGTTTTTAATTTAACAAACAGGTTACAGTTCAAAATAAGTTAATTCTATCTCAATGGTTATTTATATCATTCAAATAAAGTTGCATACAAATTGACTCAAATATCCATTAACAATATTTTTATCAACAACGACCAAATAACTTGGATTGTAATGGACTTTTGGAGATCACCTGCTCCGAATCCCCACTCAAAACAGAGCCAGTTTCCAAGGGAGTGCAAAGCCATATCCCAATCTATTTTTAAGCATTTCCAAAGGAGATTTCGCAGCTTCAATGTGCCATTTGTCATAAAGCATGCACTAAATTTTTCATAATATGTAAGTGGAATTCCCTTTGTTACAGCTTATGCCCACACTTGTCTTTTGTTGCACACCTATGAAAATATGTGCCCAGCTTCTTTATACCTTCCTTCCCATCAGTATTAAAAAATCCCTTCTTGGCTTTCCTAAGACTTTCCACAGATCTCCAGCCTTTCCTTATACACTATGCAGTCCAGCTCCCTATTAATCTTGAAGACCTGCTCCAATATGTCAGTGACTTTCTCTCATGGTAGCCAACATGACACATAATATATGTAAGATGGGTAATTTTACCTCAAAACATTCAGAAAACCAATATAATTTGAGAGGTTTTCAATAAACAAACCCTCTCTGTACAATATGGCAACTTCAATATTATTCTTGACCTTTAGCCCATACCAGAGTAGCTGTAAATATTTTCATGGCTATTGGAAGAGATGTAATCTGTCTAAACAAAAGTTATGCCTTAGAGGAGGTAGGTGGTGGCAGTTTCTTCATAGCTGTGCACTTCTTGATAGATATTCTTTCTACCAGTCCAAGCCATGGAGTCAGAATATGCTGTAACTTCCAAAAACAATCTGGAAGAGACACCCAGGATGAATACATACAGTGTGAAAGCAAAGTCAGCTTGAAAACTTACCAGTGCCAAGTCATCTCGACTGCAGTCCAGGGCAGCAATCATCACCTGTTCATAAATTATCCAAACTGGACACAAAGAGACAATAAATGCAGATAACTGGTTTGGGTTTTGTTTAAGATAATAGGAAGCACCTATCATGTAAACAGGAATAATTAATTCTGTCTGTACATTTTTCCCCTTCTACTCTCACAAATCATGGCTGAAACATGAACAAATTAAGAAACTGCTGGAATTAATAAACAACTTATTCAAGCAATTTAGCACTTTCAGTGCCAAAGTACTTTCTGACATCTTGAAAGGCAAAAAAGCCCTTATTCTTTATTTTTCCCAACATCATAACTGCCATGTTCAAGACAGATCCCTGTGAGGACTTGCTTCAATTTCTGTCACACTGTTGAAGAACAGAAAATCATGCAAATAATATGTTAGTAACAGTTTCAAATTAAGTTTTCACATTGCAGTCTAAATACTAATATAGCAAGCTAAGAGTTCTATCAGGTAATTTTTAGGGCTGTTTTCACTGCAGCCTACATTTGGGAAAGAAATAAACTCTTGGAATTCTGGAAGCCTACTAGACTAACAAAACAATATATATTTCATCAACATCAGCACATCCTGGAAGACAACATAAAAACTATTAACTAAAATACAGACTGAAAAAAGAAAACATAATCAGTCAAGGAATTTTAAAATAATGATTGTTTACTTACTGTCATCTCCAAGTTTAGATGCATATTCATTTATTAACTCTTCTCCAACATCCACTATCTGTTCACTGTTTCGGTAGTTTTCTTCCCTCCATTTCCTCATTTTATCACGCATATCTGTGGGCAAAGGGGAGAAAAAAATTGAGATTTTCAGATAGTAATGGCATTTGAATGTGCATATGATAGATAGGACACACATCTGAAGAATGGGATTAAAGAGCAACAGAGCTAAGAAAGTGATTTCTACTAAAATTAAAAACTACTAGAGAACAGATCTCTGAAACCTTATTACCCAAACTGTGCTCATGCTCTAACATTATCAGTTCAACTTCTAAGTTAGCAGTCTCTCAGGACAATTACACATGAAGTAAAAAAATGTATACCTGGTTATCCAATAAATAATAAAATGTATCCATTGTTAGCTAAAATAGGCTACAAGAGATTTCTCCTGAGTATTTTCACACATCTACAAACAATACTAAAGTTGCTTTTTTGCTACATGTGGATAAATTTTCACCTGAAATTTTAGAAAAAACATTAGAACTTCCACTCTGACAGGAATCTCCACATTCCTAGAGAAAAGAGCTCCAATAAAGGAGCTTCACATGGATGTGAAGGCTTTCTACACTATGGAAGTGTCCAAAAGTACAAAAAATATCACCGTTTACCTAGGCAAGGTAGAAATGACAGTTTATTTTATTATTAGGATTTTTGTTTCAAGAGTACATTTAAGATCTCCAAGAGAGCAGGCATATTCATTAAGTCAGGTAGAGAACACTACCTTGCCTGAGCTTTATTTATCCTCTAGACCAGGAAATTGTTAAGAATGAGATTTTATATACACATACATTTATCTAAGTATAGCTGTTCTATACACAGGAACAAATTTTGAGCAAACTTAAAAGAAAATAGTTTTCATTACTAGATAGTGGCTTTGCTAATAAGAAGGTACCAGGATAACTGTTGCTAGTATTTATTTTAAACTTTACAACAGCTGAAAAAACAAATACAGCGATATATCTAAACACTGTCAGTTTTTCTTGCACTTCACAACACAGAGTTAACGTAAATGACAGTTAAAAATTAAGCACTGAAAGTTGTTCCATCTACCTGAAGTGATCTCGGATCGCTCATAAGACTGTTATTGTGCTACATTTTGTGTTTTGAAATTCAACCAAAACCACCACAGGGTTACATTTCATATGCATGGGCAAAGTTAAATGGTTCTAGACATATGATGGTCCCTGGAAATTCAACGTTAGACGGCAAGAATGTGAGTGAACACAAACATTCACAAAAGCTGACAAGCTAAACGCCTAAAAATAAATAAGCTGTCTGATTTCCACCCACCCATTTACTTGGAAATTATCAATGCCTTCATTCCAGTGTGATTCCAAATGGAACAGTGTCTGAATTATGTATTAACAGAAGGTACATCTACCATTCATCACACAAGTACATTTACAGCAATGGAAAAAAACCTCTAGGACAAAGAATAGAACATCAACTGATGAATGAAACATTTATTAATTTTAGAAAAGCTGACTTTTCTGTAAAAGGTAGAAGAAAGAAAATACTAAGAACTGCAGTAAAATTATACAAGTCTTTTTACAATGTTGTCAAACAATGAATTTTTTTACTAAGAAATCTATCAAAAGAGACAATAATAACTCAAGTCTTGGAAACAATACAAGGCTGGGGAGACATAATTAGGGATTTTACAAGAAAAAGACAAGTAAGGTAAAGAAATGTCTACATTTTAATTAAAACTTCTGTCACCTATAGGCTGGTACTGAGCAATTGATATATTTGTTTTAGACTTGGGTTTTTCTAAATCGGTACTTAAGGCAGAGGTAAATCAAAATGGTACAAGGTCTAAGGAACAGAGGCACTTGGGACAATGTTTGCTTTTGCCTAAAATCATGTAAGAAATCTACCACAAGCCAGGAGATGCAACCTGTGTTTCATGTTTGTGTCCAGTATCAGTTCATTTGGCCTGAGCATCCAGATATTAAATAATCCTCCTATAATTACCTACACTTCCACTGATGAATTGGATCATAGTTATCAAGTCCTTGATATCTAAAAGCACCTGATTAAATGAAGGAAATCACCACTTTGGGGCAGGCAGAAATTGCAAATTCAAGACTATCTCCTTAGCATATTGCTGCCACCACGGCAGTCACTCAGGGACCCTGCAGGCATTATATTTCCAGAGATCATTTGTATATTGATTCTCTGTTACAAACAGCAAATCTTCACCCACAGCCCACCTCTGTGCACTCTCATCTGGCAGGTGCAGGCTGAGGCACAGGTGTCATGCTGGATGCTGCAGATGCTGCCTCTAACCCTGGCAACTGTGCTGGCAAAAGGGCTTCAATTAAAAAAAAAAAAAAAACCAGCATCTCACCTTTGCCTGCTATAGTCACATAAATCCATATATAAAACTCAGAGTAAACTGATCTGACCCTTTGATTATAACTGAAAATTAGGAATAGCTAAAAGAAAGCAAAGACAGCACAGCACACAACAAAGCTATATCAGAAACAGTTAATTGCAGAAAGATTATTACAGAGATGAAACGCTACACTATTTCCTATTTCCTAGAGACTTGTCATAGAAACTGAATATTAATTCATTTTCTAAGTCACAGAAAGGGAGTTTGTCACCTAACACTAAAGACAGAAGGGCTCGGTTTTTAAATTCATTTGGAATTTTCTCTTTTTGTATGTAACATTTTCCCAGATACACATTTGCAAGAAATACACACACTGGTAAACTTCATCTTATAAAGCATTTTATGGTATTTTCAAAAGTGACAAAGAGTTCCTTGAAAAAAATTTCACATGAACATGGTACTGAAAACTTTTAAAGTGTTACTATTGAAGAAGTGCAATTTTTAATACAGAAAATAGAAGTACTAATTTAATTTAAGTTACAGATAACTTAAGCAAGAAGCATTCAGAGCTAATAAAAATCTAAAAAAATACTTATTCACTTTTTCAATTTATATCAAAAGAAATCTAGTTTAAAGAATATACCATTCCTGTCTCTTTTTCATTTTGCTAACCACTTAGAAGAACTACTGACTGAAACAAGAGATGCCGTGACAGCCTCAAAGATCCCCACAAAGCTCAGCAGTGACAGCTAAAAGGGACCGCTTCCCTTTAGCAGGGTGTGATGTGTTTAACACCATTAGGCTGCTGTGCAAGGTTAAGAAAAGAAAACCTGGCTCATTCTGTCCAATTCTGACAATATGTCAGATGCATTTTCTGTGAAAGTCAACTGTTATTGAAGTACTCTCTGTTTGCAGATTGTGCTACTTCTACACTTGTGTACTCCAAAATCTGCTCCTAAAATGAAGATGGTTTTTTAGTATTTCCATTCATGGGACAAATTCCTCTTTAACGCATCACTTAAAATATGATAAATATTTATTCTACAAAGTTCTACATAGCTTAAGAAAGTCCTAGTAAGAGACTACACATCACCAGGTACCAAGTGATGTGCAAACCTACTACATCACACTCCTTGGCAACACCCTCAGCTTTTGGCTTCCTGTCACTCCACATAGTTTCTTTTTTTATGAAGGAACAGGAAATATGCCATTTTCTCTAGAATAATTAGAACCAGTATTTAAAAAAAAAGGAACAACATATCACCTTTGTCTCAAGTAAAAAAGTGTTACTGTAAAATATATGTTACATAAAAATATGTAAGTTTCTCTTTCAATACCACGGCACTCTGTGGTATTGGATCATCTAAGCCTATTCATCAAGACCATGAAGTTGAACAAGATGTCTTCCTTCTACACACTATACTTCAAAGCTTGAGATACAGCAACAAAGTAAAGAAAGAAAAAATAAAAACCACAGCTCCCACACTGGAAAACACAGTTATTTTCAGTTATCTTTCCTAACCACCTGTACCATGCCATGTATCTAAAAAAATTAACCATGGTTAAACTCCTACCTCTGTCGCAAAGAACCTGAGTGAAAAGCAAAGCAAGGTACAAACTATTTAATTTGTTACATGTTTTTCTTCTTTCCTAACCTTGAATTGCAGATCCATCTTTAACCAATATGTAAGTATAAAATGTCTTGTTTAGAAAGGCCTGGGTATATAAAGGACATATGAACCATACACCTAGTTTCACATAAATTAGGCATTTTAGAGATCATTCAAAATGCGCAACATAAAATTCCTAGAATTTTATGTTGACCTGTAGGTCGCAACACTGCTGGGATCACCTCACCCATGAAAAGCTACGTTGCACCAGGATCTGTTAAAGCTCACACAGAGAAAATAGAAAAGCTATCTTTTTTAAGAAGAGTCCTTCCATAGTCTGTTGCAGGACTCACTTTCCACTTTACTTTTCATCTCTTGCAATAGAGAAAAAATAATACAGAATATTTTCTGTGTGTTGTCCCTTGTACCAACACACACCAGCCTTACATTTGGATGAACAATTGAAGAGACTGATAAGTTGATAGATAAAACTCATAAGCTGGTCCTCTGAGATTTCTCATTCAACCCCATCCATACATGAAACTCTACAGCTAGCACAATGCCACAGCTTTCAATCATAATTCTTGGAAACAAAATGTGGAGGTTATTTCTAAGAGTAGGAAGCTCACCTCAGTATGAATTAGCCAAATCCAGAAGCATTAAGCTTGAATATCCTACATCTGGCCTCTATGTCAGAGAATAAACATACGCTCTGCACCACCCTGGGCCAAAACAATCTAGGGCTAAACATACACAGACATGTTCACAGTGTGTGTTGCCCACTCTATGAAAAAGCTCATTGCTCTTTTCCATCACTGATACTCAAAAACAATCAGGAAAAAAACCCCAAAAAATCCACAAAAACCCATAAACAACTAAGTCCCTGCATTTTGTAACAACATCTGCTCAAGAATAATAAAAACTGAAACATTTTTCAAAACAAGGTGGTTTAGGGCAACTTCTGTGAAAATCTAACAGTAACACCAGTAATGATCTATATGATCTCCTTTCAAGCTGAGATTTACAAAAAAAGATAAAAAAGAATGGTCAATCAAGGTTTTCCCAAAGTTCCTCCTGTTAGCTACAAAATCAAACTAAGCATTAATTAATGATTGGGGAATTATTCTGCTGCTCAATTATGTCTTCACAGATTGGCACTACATAAATGAAAACCCAAGATGACACAGCTTCTCTCTATGCTATCTTCTCTACACTATAATGTTTGCAGTGCATGGTATATAGCTAAAGGTTCCCTCTTTATGGCCAAAATTGTTACTATAAACCTTTCGTTTATTCTTGATAGGAGACAGGAAAGGGCTTGAGTGCTGTCTTGAGCTCACATGTTAATACCGGTTAGGGAAAAATAACCACTGAGAATGTCAACTAAAGCTCAGACAGTATTGCTATATGAAAAACAAATCACCATTATGATCGGACACACGAGGAAGCTGTAAAGACCCGGAGGACGGGATTCTCAAAAACTTTTGTCACCTAAGACGTTCTTGGAGTTTCCCCACAAATGCTTGTGACCTACTTTTACTTATGAGAGTATTAGGAAATTTTCAGTTCACCAGAAGATGTGCCATGACGCAAGCTGCTGACCCTGCCAGGAGACCATTTTTGCCGGTAAGCGCTGTCCCCAAGGGGGAAGGCGGGCAAGCGGCGACGCCGCGGCCGCCGCCGTGCCCCGGGGACGGGGGCTCGGTCCCTGCGGAGCGGAGCCCAGGGGAGCCGAGGGGAGCCCAGGGGAGGCGAGGGGAGGCTGGCCCGCCCCAGGGCAGCGCGGGGCGCTCCGGGCCAGGTGCGCCTCACCGTCCGGGGACCTGCGGGCACCGAGGAGCCGAGCGCAGCTCGCCGCTTTGCCGCTTTGGCGGCCCGGCTGCCCGCAGCCCGAGGAGCCGGGCGGCGGTTCCTCGCTGCTGTTCCCCAGGCCTGGGCATGGCCTCCCGGCGCCGGCCTGAGCCCGCCGCGCTCCGGGAGCGCCGCCCCTCCCCGCGGCCGGGGGCCGGTGGGGCCGGGCACAGCCCCTGCCCGGGCGGGGACCGCCGGCTGCGCGGCGTTACCTTCCCAAGTCACGTCGTACATCTCCGACACCTTCGCCATCTTGGCGGCCGCCGTGACGTAGAGCGGTGACGGCTCCGGCCGTCATTGGCGGAGGGCGGGAGCGGGGCCGGCCCGGCGGGGCAGAGCCGGCGGTGGTGCGGGGCCGCCTGATGCCCGTAGCGCCCGCGCTGGGCTCCTTCCGTGCCCTCCCTCACCGTCCCGGCGGCCAGAGAGAGCCTCGGCCCGCTGGAGGGGAGCCCCCGAAGGGCCGGAGCTTCAGGGAGCCCGCGCCTGGCCCGCCGGGCCTTGGGCTCCGTTAGTCCTTGCTGGCGTCGGGAGCGCACTGAGGGGGCCCCGCGTGACCCCCCGCCCGCGGCGCTCCGTGCCTGTCCCGCCCGCGGGCACCGGGGTCAGAATCTCGGAGCCCAAACTGCAGGTGGCACTAAGCGCTGCACTCTAATTCCCTGTGTTACCGTCCTTACAAACTGCCCGAGACCATATCTTGAACACACGCCGGGCGCAGAGGAGCCCGGTGTGGTTTGGGTTCAGCGTGAGAAGTGCCAGTATATTTCCTGCCCCTGGCATCCTGGAGAGGGGCACGGACCGTCAAGGGTGAACCGTCGGTTTCTCTGTGCGTGGTTTGGCACTGGCCCATCGCCAGGCACCCACGAGTGTCGCTTGCTCGCCCTCCCCGGCCACAGCTGGGCAGCGGAGATGGAAAAAAAAAAAATTAACAAAAGGTTCATGAGTGAGATAAGGACCAGGAAGAACATTTCAGTCAAAACAGTCTCAGCTTTAAGGTTGCAACGTGTAGCGTGTTACTAACAGAATCAGAGGGGGATAATGAGAAGTAAAATAAACCCTTAAAACAACTTTTTCCCCGCAGCATTCCCTCCTTCCCACCGACAATGGAGGCAGACAGGGCATGGGGGTTTAGTCAATTCTTTACCAAGATTCTCTTCCGCTGCCCCGGGAGAGGAGTCCTTCCCCATGGAGTCTCTCCCACGGGAGACATCTCTCCGTGAAATTCTCTGGCATGGGGCCACTCCCATACCACACCTGCTGCAAACGTGAGTCTCTCCCATAGGCAGACACTGCCCCCAAAACTGCTGCAGCGTGGGTCACTCTTCCACGGGGTGCAGTCCTCCAAGGACTCCTGGGAGCAGGGACCTCCCCACCGGCTCTCCCAGCCCTGGAAAGCAGCATGGATCACAGCCCCCTCCGGGCATCCACCCGCTCGGGCATGGGCACCTCCCCACGGGCTGCGGGTGGATCTCTGCATGCCCCGTGGATCCCCACAGGCTGCGGGTGGATCTCTGCATCCCCCGTGGATCCCCACGGGCTGTGGGTGGATTTTTGCATCCCCCGTAGATCCCCATGGGCTGTGGGTGGATTTCTGCATCCCCCGTGGATCCCCACAGGCTGCAGGGGCACAGCTATTTCACCATGGTCCGCACCACAGCCTGCAGGGGAATCTCGGCTCCAGTGTCTGGAGCACCTCCTGCCCTTCCTTCTCACGGACCTTGGTGTCTCCATGTTGTTTTCCTTCACATGTTCTCACCTCCACTTCTTCTCTGACTAGAAGAAAAACCTGACTTTGTATTGATTTCCTTCTTAAATATGTCATCACAGAGCTGTTACCAGCCTCTCTCATGGGCCTGGTTTTGGCCAGCAGCATCTCCATATTCAGAGCCATCAGGGAAAGCTTCCAGCAGCTTCCCACAACAGCCATCTCTGTGGCCCCCCTGCTACCAAAAACCAGGCTGTGCAAAACCAATAAACTCTTCATGTGCCCCAGCTACCCGATGGGTAGTGAACCAGCACAGTGATCAATTTCTGACAATTGGTCAGGGAAGCCCTGAGGGTATCTATAGACAGGAGTGGGGCCACCAGTGCCCACCTCTGTGTTGTCTCCACTTTTTACCTTCTGGCATCACAGCTTCTGCTGTGGAGATGAAACGTTTCTTCGTAAAAGAGGCTCCCGATTTTAATACTGTATAGTTGGTAAGAAATAATAAATCTGAAATAGATTTAGCTGAGATATTGAGGAAAAAAAAATAGCGATGGATTGTCACAGCGTCTGTCCCTCTCACCGGCTTGCCCTGCACTGATTGACTCTGCGGGCAGCGGGGGCCACCTTCCCGATCCACGGGTGGCAGGGACGGCGGCTTGTAGGTCCAGAGCGACCAGACCCGGGAGACGAATGGCGATGAGAACAGAAGCAAATGAGTCGTCCTTTTGGGGGGGATCCACAATCCAAGTTTATTGGGGAACTCCAAAGAGCAACCTTAACTTGGGGGGGATGCCCACCGAAAGGCGCTGAGTGCCAGCGTGCAAAGGATTTTATTGGGGGGTGGTAACAAAGGGCGGGATTAACAACAGGGTGTTTGTTGTTAATGGGGTAGCAACAGGGTGTAACTACTGGGGTGACACACAGGGGAAGGATCCAATGGGGAAGAGAGATAGGAGGGAAACCCAGAGACCAGCATATCACTCGAGGCCCTTGATGGAACTTTCTGGATGGAGAGGAGAGGCCTCCAAGACATGCCCCAGGGTGGGTCAGGGGAATGACCCAGCAGAATTTAATGCAGGGTGGGTGGTGGAAGGGAGGATTGACAGGAGGAGGAGGAGGAGGGCAGGACCATTTAACATAAAGGGGGGAACAGGAAACAACCATCTTAGGGGGAGAACCTAAAAACACAACCCAACAATGGATTTTTAACTTTATGTATACTAAAGAAATTGGTTTTAGAAAATATCACCAGAAACTTAATTGTCTGACATTTAATTCTGACAATATCTTGTATGAGAAATCTCTCAGTCAAGCTCAAAATCAATCCCCTAGCTCCATCAACAAATAAACCTTAGTATCAAGAATGCTCTCTGTATTTATGTTCCTCCTCTGACTAGAATAAACTACTAATTTTTAATACTATCTACAGTGTAATTACATAGCACAATTTTGACAGCTAAAAGGCCTCATGTAGAATTTAAGTGGTGGTCTAGAAAGATGGGGGGGGTGCCTGATTTTTCTTCTTATAGTGTATGAATAGGAAACTGATATTCTTGTTCTATGTGTAAAGGAGTGAATACAGAATGATTATGATCCAGATGCAAAAAGAATTTAGCACACACCTGCTCCGCACTGAAATAGCTGAGGTAAAAAGAAAAATTAACTTGGAGGGTTCAGTGCTTCTGGAATGCCTAATGTGGGACAGACAGAACTTTTAGGCATATAAATCCAATATTTTGATCCTTTTAAAAGCTCTGTCAGCTATCATCTAACGCTGAAGGAGCTGAAATTTCAGAAATGTGTGTTTGAAGCATTTGGGAGGGGTTTGGACTTTTGGTTCCGTGCTTGTGCTCCATGCTTGTGCGCCTGCCCACAACTTTGTCTTGGCAAGAGGCAGGCAATGGTACACCACAGGCACTCAGTCCAGGTACTGTTCTCAGTGATCTCTCTCCTAGCTAGATTTAGACAATTCCCCAGTTATGCAGTCCTTCACCTAACTGTAAGAGGAGACCAAGCCCTGAAGTTATGCACTGTAAGTGTTGCCTGCTGCCTTTCTTGGACGTGGTCTCGAACGACTTGCCTAAAATCACATATGCTGTGTTCTGCCAAGCTCAAAGCTGACCCTTCCACTGCATAACTGCCCTTACTGTGGAGCAGAAGCCATCCACACTCACCAAGAGACGGAATTACTGTTACAATATCACATTATGCCAGATACTGTTATAGTTGGAAACAGAAATGGTTCTGGTATTAAGCTTTTTCATCTTGGAAATTAAAACAGTGGTTTTCAAAGCTGTTTTCTGATGCCAAGGATCTTCATCACTTAATTCATAGTGTTTTGTTAATAAAGCTTAAAATGTTCTAAAAAGGGAATAGTCGTGTGAAATCTCTTTTCTGGATCTGTCATTTTCTGCTCTTCTGTTATTTTCTGCCATTTCTGCAAGAACTAAGTAGGAAGGCAGGGATCCCAATTTTACATAATAAGATGTAAATGCACAGGTTGTTTGAGGGCATTATTTTAAAGCATGGAAAACTCACCATCTACTTTATGTAGGTACCACAGCTAGTTCTATATTTCATCAAATGAAAATGAAAAAAAAAAAAAGTAGTTTTTTGGTTTTTTGGTTTTTTTTTTCTCAGTGTGCTATTAAAAAAACCTTTCTCTTTATTGTGAAACTAATCTGTGAGTTCATGAATAATCTATTCAGAATTGCTGTTCAGGCAAATGATACTTGCTAAGCAAGAAAAACAGAAAAGTTTCATTTGCAGCTTACCAATGGAAGCAAAGTATGGAAGTCTGTGTCCTGTGCATGAGATATGGGGTATATAGAAACATTTGGGCTCATCATCTAATAAATAGCATCTATTTTAGTTCAGTAATATTGAGGGATTTGTTTAGTAATCTAACAATGGTGGCATCCCTCAAGTAAGTAGAACATAGGAGAAAATAACTCCGGGACAGCAATGACGTAAGGAAGAATGTACACATGTAGGAGCCATGTATGTTGTGAATGAATAAAGTGAGAATTTATTCTCTCTGTGAATCAATTATTCATTTGCTTGTTAAGATGCAAGATATGGACGAACTTCATTTTATGTGAGGAGCATTTAAAAATATTACTGTCTTGTTTATTGATTCTAAAGATCAGTCCCAGAAAATAAATAAGTGAATGAAAAATATAGGGAATTAAAAAAAAAATTGAATAATGCAATTGAAGGCTTTAATGTAGGCAATTAATGTAGGTGACTTTGAGTCTGATCCTAGTGCCAGTATTCATTTATTAATGTTGGAGCTTCAGATATTTTCTTACATCAAATTTAAAACTTACCAAAGTTAAAAAAAATGAGGTAAAAAAATAAATTAACACATTTTCTTTAAGATAATTACTATGATGGTTAATATATACAGAACATTTTAACATACTTTTAGGTTTTTATCACAGCATCACCACAGTAAGAAGTGGCAAGTAAAATTTTTTCACTCATCCTGAAAAATCTGAGGGTTTTTATATCATTTTGACCAACACAAAATATTATATATTGAAACATACATAGCAAAGTG